GTGAGATTTTTCATTTTAACTATTAGAAATTCATTTGCCATCTTTAAGCAACAAAATGGCAACTCATCCAACTTGAAGCCAAATCAGACTTCAAATAATCATGTTTTTTTTCAGAGAAGACACATCAATTCTGTTAATGAATAAAAAGGAGTTGTGGGTTATTCGTCAATAGGAACCATCTTGTGGAGAAAGACTTTAAAGGCTGTGTCTTGTTTAATCCTTTTTATATTCTAATGAATAAAATATGTTTAAAATTAAAAAGCAACCCAAATCAATGGACTGATATCTCAAATTTAACATGCAATCTTCAACAACACACAAGTGTCATCTCTAAAATATCCCAGTCTTGAAAAGTTGTTTATCATTCAGATTCTTTCTTTGAAAACTGACTAATGTTACATTGTGACTGCCATCTAAAATTTTGAATCAGCACCAAAATTCCTAATATTGATATAGCTTTAACCAATATATAACACCAAAATGAATCAGTTCAATGCATTTCAAGATGAAGTTATAGGTAAATGCATGCATGTACTATTCTATTTTTTTAAAGTCATAGATATCTTTCTGTCCTAAAGATATAAACTTAGTTTAGGTACTTTTTAGCATCATAAGACATATTATAGGTCAGAAGTTTTAATAAAGTTCCTTAATAAAATATGAATTTTTCATCCCTTGATTATTTTATTTTGACAAATTACAGAATGCACCAGTGTCACTGATAACACAATGGAGGTGTCACAAAACCTGAGTTAGAAAAGAAGATAAAGTAATAATATCAATTTGATTGAAGAGGCTGTAGTGGTCACAGTTTTCAATGTCCAGCATTTGTCTGTTTAACTTCTCAATCCATCTGTTATTAAAACTTGTTATTGTAATCTTGACATTGGACAGATGACTTCTTAAGTCATCCATGATGACCTTACAAATATCCCCTTAGAAGAGGAGTAGTCCTGAGAAAAGCAATTTTTTTTCAACAACAAAACTTATACTTTAATGTTGTCAAATACAAAACTCCATAACTGTAAAATGTCTTCAATCAAAAATAGAATACATTAAGACTTGAGTGAACATTGTTAAAATGTTTTATCACTTAATTTTTCCATATCCAATACTGTCATTTTCAATTTTTCAAGAACAACAACTGTGTTTCATGCAAGTGATTATATCAGTATGGCTATTTTAATATATTTACAATAGCTTAAAGTATTGTCCTATATGAAGTAGCACTCACTTACTGTGCATGCTAGTATCATTTGACATATGAACAGTGATGCCTCAAGGCATTGTTATAGTGGAAAGGACTCTACCCAGACATTATTGCAAGGAGAGATAGCATTGCAATGTCATACAAAGGATACCAAACTTATCTGGTAATTTAAAAACTAAGACAAGAGGATGGATTAGTGCAGCAAATATCGAACAAATCATTGCTACAATATTATGAGTTTACTACTACATGTATATTGACTGTATTTAAATCACACTGTACTGCATTACATAACCTTCACTTGTGGGATATATACTTGCCAAAATGAAATTATATATCTAAGTAGAAAATGATTAATATTTCATATTTTCCCAAATGACTTCATAAAACATCCTGCCAAAAAATGGAATCATAGAAATTATATAATTTGACATTAACAACTATGTTTAAAATCTGATGGAGAGAACAACGACCAACTGTAACCATTTGACTGCACAACACCTCGTCACTAAACTCTCTAGATGTTCATTAAGGTCTGGAGGGGTTCCAAATGTATAAAAAGAAAACAAGTAGTATGTAATTTGTAGGATAAATGAAGTTAGTTTATATATAATGATGGGTTTAGAGCTATAGTTTTATTACAAGACTAGTTAGTAATGACAAAACCATCTGTTTTCATCCACTAAATTTTACACAATTCAGTTCTAAAGAATTTCACAATGGTGCCAAAAATGCAGCAATTTTTGCACAATTAAAATAATATGACGTAAACAATATAGCTGAAACAATGCAGATTTTCGATTTAAAATATTTGTTCTAAAAAAAATCAAATTATATCCACCAAAAGTCATGTCAGGAATATGTAACAGCTAATGAAATGTATCTAAACTTCTTTGTAATGATCTTCATCTATCTTATAGATAACTTATCCCTTTCACAATCAGTACGATTTCAGTCTCCATTCAGTTATTTGGTCTGTACCTTAGTATTCAACAAACTTTATTACCTCCAACAATAAAGTTGACTGGGAAGAAATTATATGAACAAATAGATGTCTTTTCAAGTTCTATAATGTTGTTGGGTTGTTGTATCATAATATTTATTCATAATAAAGTTGATGTTTGTGACACACAACCCACATATCCTTTTCTTAATATAGAATGTTAAACATTAATAAACTTTTCAGAGTTATTTTCTGTTTTAATGTTAAATATTTATTCTTTTGTTTACTGCTTTGAAATTCAAAATCAGTGAATATCTTTTTTGGGGGATTGGATTTAGGATTTTTCAAGGAGTCCAACTATCTGTATTTTCCAAGGCTTGTACATCGCTGGGGGAAACTTTGTATTGAAAAGAATAGTGTCAATCATTAAGGGTGTCTGTTTACCTCAACAGGCTTAAATTTGCCCATGTATTATTTTTGTAAATTGATGATTTTCTTTGACAGAAGTGTTTTGCTTGATAACAATGGTATTTTGGGGAAATTCATGTATAACAAATTGGTACTTCAACTAAATCTTTACATTTCAAAACAAAAATCATTCTATCCACCTTTCAAAATTTACAAGGAGGTCATGCTAAGATTACAAAATAATGGACATGACTAAAATTATAAATGGTACTTCTTGTCTCATCGAGTGCATAATTGGGGCACTACAACCCGGTAGAATGTCCAATACTTGTGTTTAAATAGCTCAATACAAAGTATTGTTGTTGATTACTAAGTGTTCACAATCTGTCATTTATCTTTTCACCAGGTGGGCCAAGTGTGATAAATTGTGAATTCAAATGTCCCAGATCACATGCATTCCACTGAAATATCATGTTCTTACCAATTTTAAATAATTCAAACATACTCTAATTTTAAATTTACAAGATTCTTGTCTGAATTTACCTTACATTTCAAAAGATTTACAATTCACTAGCTTAACTAAAATCTCCAGATTTTACCAGTGACAAATATGACAGTGGGGTGTCTAAATATCTGCATACTTTTAAAAGAAATGTTCTGTATATATAGTGGATATAGAGGATAGTTATAATTTGATTAAAATTTCTCTTGGACAATATTTAATTACTGGTACTTGAACTTAAATTTCAAACAAAATTTAATATGGCCTTATCTGTATCAATGTAGACAGCTATCTCACATAAAATTACCTCCACATAAAGTGAGGGGGGGGGGGGGGGGTTAACAGTGACCACTGGCATAGTTTTTCTGTTTACTTTTAGGTGATTTTTTTTTGTAATGATCCAGAGAGTAATATTATCATACTAAAAGTTATTCCCAATTGTAATCTGTAAAAAAGGTATATCTATTTAGGGATCTCCCCCTCCTGAATACTGGTCTCTCATTTCGGATTTTTGTTATTATTGAACACATCTGAGGTTGTGATTAGTGGAAACATTCATCAAAATTTTAAAAGAATGGTACAAGTAATGCTACCCAAATTTATACTTGATCTGAGTTTTGTGGTAATAAGCATTGTGTATAAGTTTCATAACATTTGGTTGAGGCAAACTAAAATTAGAGAACGGAAACCAATTTTGGGATGTACGGACATATGAATGGACGGACAGACAAGGGTATAAATTATGCCCCCTCCGCTACGGGGCATAAAAATGAAGGTGGTATCCTGACTGTCTTGAAGTTGAAATAGAATTGCCCACTTGCCAATCGAAGTTTTAAAAAAACACATGTATGGTTTATGCTATAACAGCTGACAAATTACAACCTGCATATAATAAAATAAATTTGTAAAATAAAGTCTTTTAGACATGACTCATTTTAATATGAAAATTCAATAGCCAGAATTAAGTCAATCGTCACAAAGAGCTCCACAAAGACAAAGTTGCTTTATCATTTTGATTTGAAGAGATCACACATGAACAAAATCACTCCAATATAAAGGACATGTTTTGTCAATGATTGATAACCTATAACAAAATTATCATTACATAACACGTTGTGGTAACCAAATACTATTTTGTCATTCAAGTTTACTTTGCGGGTGTTAGAAAGATGGATATTATCCACATCGATTTGTCAAAAATTATGTCTTAATCAATAATGTAAAACATAGATTAATCAGCCAGACAAATGTTTATTTAACTTGTTATAATCTTATACAAACTGTTATGTGTCATAGTCCTTCAGATAAAAAATAAAGCTAAAATGTCAAGAAAGCCAAGTAATTTGGTGCAGATACTTGTCAACTAGTACCATTTCATTTCAGCACCCAGTGTTCATAAGTATATAAAACAAATAAGTTTCGTGCATGAGGCATATAAGCAGATAAATGCATTTTACCCCCTTACAATACAATCACAGCTTTAAGGGCATCTATAACTTTTTTAATGTCTTGGGTATATATGTTTCTACAAATTTTTGCACCTCATGTTTGCAGTATACCATCTTTTCCGCAAGTTTATTGTTTTCTGTTTGGTATTAAATTTATTTAAGATCCATTTTGTTACATCTGGTGATCCATTCATTTGGCAATCACCATGGCAGTCAACAAGGTTTAAGAACATCCGTTGTTCGACCTGCTAGTCAAATGCATTTTGTTAAAATATACTTTTTCACTTTTTTGGTCTTTTGGAAAATGTTGTTTGTGCTGTATTTAGACCCTTCTACCAAGAAATTTGTTTTGCATGCACACGTATTAAAATTACGGTTTTTATCCAACGCAATCATAGGTTTGAATGTTGTTTTCAATTTAGACTTGTTTATGTTTCTGTCCTGGATACATATATATATAACACTATCCCAAAGTATTAAAAAACTTACCTTCATAACTGGTAAAGCGGAAATCAAACTCTTTTGGGAATGATGGGTTAACTTCTGTTGTAGTGGCATACACCGTTGTCATAACAACAAATTGGATTATGGTCCTCCAAAATGTCATTCTTGATGTCTATTTCTTGTCCACATTTCCATTTCACTGCATGGACCTCAAGATTTCTGAAAAAAATAATGAAATTCACTGATAAATATTTTGTAGAATTAAGAAAAAAAATAACATGCTATAAATTTTCAATTTACAAGATAAATTACCTTTTAACTTTGTTAAACGTGACTTCTCTATTAGAAAACTGAAAATTTGTTTACTAATTTTTGTGACTATTATGTAAGAGGGTACTTAGAAATAATAATAGTTGATGTTTTAATATAATTCAATTTATAAAGTTGACTTGCATGGAAGTGCTTCTTAGATCAATAATAAGAATTATGGTAACTGCTTCAATGGGCTTTATCTATCATAATTATACTTAACAGTAGTTCATATATAGTAATAAGTGATAAAAAGTAAATACACAATGTATATTATAGAGTTCAAAGAAGACTGCAGACTTTTTAATGCTCTATCAATTTGTCTGTCTGTGGATCTGATTAACTTTTCATTTAACGCAATAATCTGTCTTAAATCATATTTTACAACTAAAACCATGTAAAAAACTCCTAGGCAAATTCAAAAAGGGGAAGTCCATAAAAACTGAAAAATCAATCAACGGAACAAGTGAAAAAAAATTGCCATATTCCTGACTTGGTACAGGCATTTTCTGAAGAAAATGGTGGTTTAAAACTTGGGTGTAACAGTGATTCAAAAAAATTACTAATTATCATTTATTTCTTGAGAAAAAATACAAAATTACAAGAAACAAATATTACTTAAATGCCTCATTTGAATTTATTAATATTCAGAAAAGCCTGAAGCCAAATATTGAAAATTAAATAGTAAATCATTACAAAGCAATATGTAACATCCCTCCTCCTCCTGACAGAAAAAAAACCCCAGCTTACTAAGATATAATTGTACATCAGGATGTGATACCTAAGATAACAAGCATTCTGTAAGTATTGCATGGCAATACATAGTCCCTATCACTTAAAAATTCATTGCATTGGAACAAAATTCTAACTTGATCTATTACTTGTCATGGTGTAAACTATATAACAAATATCAAGTCAATATCTTCAAGCATGACGAAAAAAAGTGTTGAAAACTGATTATTTAAGTGAATTTTTTAAGCCCAAGGACCATAACTCTGCACAAAATCATCAGACCTGAACAAAATTCGAACTTGATCTGTAACTTGTCATGATAAAACTATATATCAATTTCTTCAAGCATGAAGAAAAAAAGTGCGGAAAACTTATTATTGAGTGATTTTTCTAAGTCCAAGGACCATAACTCTGCACAAAATCATCAGACCACAACAAAATTCAAACTTGATCTGTACCTTGTCATGATAAAACTATATTTCAATTTTCAAATCAATACCTTCAAGCATGACGAAAAAAAGTGCAGAAAACTTATAATTTGAGTGAATTTTCTAAGTCCAAGGACCATAACTCTGCACAAAATCATCAGACCACAACAAAATTCAAACTTGATCTGTACCTTGTCATGATAAAACTATATTTCAATTTTCAAATCAATATCTTCAAGCATGGCGAAAAAAAGTGCAGAAAACTTATAATTTGAGTGAATTTTCTAAGTCCAAGGACCATAACTCTGCACAAAATCATCAGACCGGAGCAAAATTCGAACATGATCAGTAACTTGTCATGATAAAACAATACCCCAAATATCAAATCAATATCTTCAAGCAAGAAGAAAAAAAGTGTAGAAAACTGATTTGCCGGACTGACAGACAGACAGACAGACGGAGTGCAAACCTAAAGTCCCCTTGACTTTGTCGGTAGGGGACTAATAAACAAATTTAACATCATTTTATCAATAAAATAGAATACATCAAGCAACAGCATCAAATATAAATATCTTGCTTGCCTACTAAGCTAGAGATTGCAGTCCAGTTAAATAAGGACTGGCATCCACCAAGTGGCAGTATGTATTATATAATGAATAACTACTTTGATGTACTCAAAGTTTGTACTTATATCATCATCTCCTATAAGACAGAGACATTATACTCATATGTACAGGTCTTATTACAGAAAGCTTTATATTTAAGTCTGCCTACCTGAATTATTAATGAAGACAAAATGAAGAACATTAATTAAATTGCTGATCTATAGTTTTATAATTTTAATGTTTCTAATGTTTTAACGTGCTTTCTTATTTTCATTTAAATGAAAGTACAGAAGGAATGTATAACTAACAGCAGGCTGGTTGTAGTGAACCTAATCCCCTACATGACACCTTTTTACAACTCATTATCCTGTACAGGTGGTTTGTATTTTCTGTCTATAAAGAGCATAATTAATACGTCCTTATATGGTTTCATATTTACCTGTCGACCTTACAAACGAGATGTATCAAATACGATAAAAAATATCATAAACAATACAATTTGTCGCCAAAGGGTATTTCCCACAGCTGATAAATATTCATTCATTTAAATTTCTTTTTGCTCAATGAATTTTACAGATTAGTTGTCTGGAACATCAAAATAAGGAGAAAATTTGATCGAAGGGTGGACCTGAAATGCCTGATACCATCCACACTTTATATAACAATTCATCACTTAACAATGCCACATGCTCATTCACATCTAATATTACACAATTTCTTAAATCAAAACCTGCCAAAAAAAACTATAATAGGGTATGTAATTAACCTTCTTTTTATCTTATTTTACTGACAAACTATTTCTAACTATAGACCCTAGCAACCAAATTATAAACCCTTAAAACTTATAAGAGCAGGGGTGTGATGGTTGTTTTTTTATTTTTATTTTTTTGCTAGTCTATGCATTCTATACAGTGTAGAAGAGAGGTGAAAGATACCAAAGGGATATTCAAACTCACAAGTCTAAAATAAACTGACAATGCCATGGCAAAATATGAAAACTGACAAAGAGACAAACAACAGTTCACAAAACACAACACAGAAAACTAAAGACTTGAGCAACACTAACCCCATCATAAAATGGGGGTGATCTCAGGTGCTCAGGTTAGAAAGATAATTGATTATATAAACTAAATATGAATACAAAGAGGGTATAATAAAGCCACATGAACATGACAAAGTAAAACTTTTAGTGCACATTAGTTTATAATAAATATTAAGTAAATGGAGTAAATCCAATGGACTATGTAGAACTGAACCTAATCCCCTACATGACACCTTTATACAACTCATAATGCTATACAGTCTAATACAGGTATACACTTTCTGTCTATAAAGAGCAATAATTAATACATACTTTAATGGTTTCATATTTACCTGTCAACCTTACATACCCTATTTATCATATACCACAGAAATACTACAGGGATTTTATCATTGTAGGCGTCCAGTAAAAATAAAGCCGACTCATTGAGGGATTTCAAAATGTAAGTGCTTCCATAAATTATTCCTTTATTTTTCAAACAACAGCATAAAAAACTTCAAATCTAATTAATAGAATAGAGAATGACAACAGGGAATGTGTCAAACAGACAATAACCCAACCAAAGAGCAGAAAACAGCACAAGGCCACCAATGGGTCTTCAATGCAGCGAGAAAATCCCGCATCTGGAGAAAAAGTACTTATCTTCATCATCTGTGTACATCCAAATAATGCACATCTTTTACTTTCAAAACCATAATGCAACTCACTTCCTATATAGTTTAATTTTAGTCTAGAAACCAATATTTAAAACTGCCTCCCTGTAGCATGCTTGATTTAACAACAGGAGGTCGTGGGTTCAATCTTTAACTGAGTCAAACCAGAGATTCTCTACAATTGATTTTGCTACTTTTTCCACAAGGGCTGATTTTATATGTAAAAGTCTAAGAGCAAGGAATGTTCAGCAAAGATCCAGATTAAAATGGCCAGACAAGGAGATGCTACTTTATGAACAATAACATTCAAAATCCCACTCAGTGTGTCAATCAAGTACAAAACAGGGTTCATACTCATAACACATTATTTATTAACATGTTCTCCTCCTAAAAATGCATGTCATATTAACATCTGGTCATTACATATCCATCCATCCATACTTAGGATTTTGCAATAGCTCAAGTTATGATAAAGTGTTGATTAGTTTTTGTAGATCTTGCTTAGTATGGCATACAGGAAATTTACAGGTCATAAAAAGAAACCACAATACAATTTTAAATAAACTGCAGATAAACCTCTCAATTTTGTAAATGTGCAAATTCCCCATCCTTAACTGATTATCTAACCTCCTTTTTAATCATTCTTCCATCTATAATCTTCTCACAAATTATGTAATGAACATTCCAAAAACTACACAACCAGTTTATACATTTTGTTCTAATATAAACACATTCTTTGCACCATTATTTTCAAAATCATGTAAATTAATATATTGGCTCATCTCCTACTCGTACTGTTAACATTTTACTTGGCTCATCATTTTGCTGTGTTTTTATTGTATAAATATCAAAACTTGGCTCTATTCCTACTTGCACTGCTGTTATTTAAACTACTGTATTGCTAGAACTGATCTTAATAGAACGTTTTCGTGATTTATTGCGAAATTATATCATTCAAATTAGTGCAAATTATTAATCATAATCAAAATTAACTATTACACCTACATTTCTGAGATAAAGTATAAAAGCCTTTTCAAAAACATGTCTGTAATGCATGTTTTCATTTACATTTAATATAAATCAGAACTTTGCATGTTGAATGCTATTTTCTTTTTTAATTAGGTCTTTATTCTGGAATGATAGTGTTTCCATTTACAAAGACACGTCCTTTCAGAAATAATAAAAGTCTGTTAGCATTTCAAAAAGACCCTACTGTAATGGCAGTATACAATATATGTAGATTATATTTTTATTTTTCAAATGGATCTGCAATTGTATTTTTTACACTGGCACAAATGCTAATCTTGAAAAACAATGTGCAAAAGAATTATCATCCTGGATTTCTGAAATTATGACTTAAGCACATTTATCACTGTCAAAGTTTTCCATAAAAAACATGGGCAAAGAAAAGGCAAGGGTTCTATGTTTACAAAACGATAATTGGTTCCAA